CGCACTAAAAGGTCTTTATACCAAAAAAGATGTGTGCCTTGACAATTTGATTTCCAAACTAAAAATTGCTGTATTTAACTGCAAATTTGAAAGAGAGAATTCTTGTTAGTCGTTTTCTTAAGACATTTTAACAAAGATAATAATCCTACTCTGACAAAAAATGTATTTAAAAATACATTGATAGTTTTATTTCAAAAATAAAAAGGATGTAATATTTTACTACAAAAGTTCAGAGAAATGATTTTTACTACTCAATAAGTATATCGATTAACTGTATATTTTCAAACAATGCATTATAAGTAACAGGTTGCCTAAAATTTAAACACGCAACCTCCTACTGCAGAAAAAAATATAATTAACACGAGCTTCCTCAGTTGTACGATGACTATAAATCTGTTTGAGGGGAATATAGAATGAAATAGCATACAAACATTTAAAACTCAAATTTACTAATCCAATCTGTTCTTGTATCATCTTTTAAACGGTAATTTTTAAAAAGGAGAGATTAAGAAAGTACTTGTTCTTTGATTTAAATCAAGAACTTTCTAGAATGATGAATCGATTTGGAAGTAAAGGAATGGGAGAAGTGATGTCTTTGTATAAAAAAAAATATTTTTCCAGTATGAAAAGAAAGCAACAAAGAATTAAAAAAATATGGCTATTCAAAGAAGTTTTACTCGATACAAAGTAATCGATAAATATTTAAACCAAAATCACAGATAATTTAACAGGTTGCTGAAATAAATTACTAAATTTCAAACATAAATGAAAAATCCCTTAATGAATAACACTTTGACAACTGTTGACTTTTACCTTGCACCAGTATACACTGAAACATCACATAAAGCACACGAATTTCAATGACTTCATATGCTTTTATATATGATAGAACTCTCAGCAATTTCGTTCAAAGTAATCATTTCGTAAGTTCTATGGTCGATACAATGACCTTGTCAGCAAATACAATTTATCATTGAGTCTAATACTGATCGACGATTGTTAGGCCATTATTTATACATTAAATTGACACCCCATCATAACAAATGAGCTGTCTTTGATATTATAGAAATTAAAATCACTAACAGGAAATTCACCTCTTTTTCTGCTTATAGTGTCTTTGTCTTCTTACAATGACAATGATTTAATTGTCGTCATTAGTTTTGAGTACAAGAAAAAGATGAACATTTGCATATTAAAACGGATTATAAAGCTGATACAATTATCTTGTATATAAATGTATTTATTTAGATATACCCGGCAATTTTAGACTTTTTAATGCCACTAAAGTATTAAAGGTATGTCTTACCTCTGATGCAGAATGATTCTTTTTTGCTTTATTTTGTTTTCATGGCCTCAGTGCCTTCAGTTATAATACCGAAATGGAATAACTGGCTAAAAATCAGCTTTTTTTGTTATAAAAAAACTCTATCATTATAAGAAAAAGAAAAAAATTATCCAGACAATTATTGTAGCTAGGCATTAGGAGCCAAAATTTAAATATATCTTAATTTCAAAGAAGAAATATTTCGATACTGTCGGAATAAATGTTTTATAAAAAGTTTTATAAATTGAAAACAGTGAGGAGGGAGAAACTTCAGGAGTACTGTACAGTGAGAGGTGGTGTTAATCAGACGTGGATACTAAAAACTCCAGGGAACATTTAGAAAAATTGAAATCACTAAATTTTACAAAACCAAAAGCATCAAAATGAATGAATTTTCAACAAATAATACAATAATTTTCCTTTATACAATAATTTTCTGTTATAAACATAGTCCAGGCTCTTTTGACAACTTAGATAACTGCTTTTTAATGGATATACTAGTAGTTAATGTGCATACTTTGTTATTGGTCATCTGCAGAATTATTTAAAAAAAAAAAAACATCCTGATTCTGTAGACGTGTACCCCTAGGGTAATATAATAAATATGCTTGAGTTTATTAGAGACAATATATATGAAAGTTTTAGACATCAAGTTTTCCAACAATTTTGCAAATTGTATTCAGACACATCTGTTTCATATATTTATTTTGAATATTTTTGCTGGTGAAAGATATAAACGGCAACCTAACGACACTTACAGTCACCTATTTACGTAATTACACCATTATTACCTCCTTATGGTGTTTATGTCTCTAAATTGATTCAATGCGCAAGAGCATATTCCATGATTTCAAAATCAGGTAAGCTATTGACAAATGAGTTGACAAGGATATAAATAATCTCGTTTGAAGTCTTGCAGATATGTAAATGACATGTGCTCTATCAACATAAATAAGTTGTGAAACATAACATGTTTTCAATGAGCATCTGTCATGCACCCTACAAAAAGATATGGCTAAATGCTTGGACATTAGATCGAGCAAAGAAACCGATTGTTAAAGGATTCATTTTTTTTCTGGTTAATTTTCATCAATGAAAAGAAAGAACTAAAGGTACTGTGTGCCCCATCCTCTTATACGAATATAATGGTAGACTTGGGATACCCAAAACATGAGTCGGATAAAAACGTAAAGTAGGCAGTGCAAAATTAGACAGTGTAAAAAGATTTTGTGAAATTCTTATCAAATTTACGAAAGCCCAGAAGGCTCATTCGAGATTCAATTTTCGAAATTCAAGATCCAAACTAACCAATCAAAAGTGGGTTCAACATTTGATTACTCCCCTTTGTTATGTTTTTACCATCAAGAAATCGTTGAATATATTTATAACAAATGGATCATTTGCTAAAATGTTAATGCAAGAAAAAATATTTTATGTATTAAAACGAAATAAAAAATAAAATTTGGATTACATTAATACGAATAATACATATATAATTTTATTTTTCTCATTAAACAAAATAGTAAATACGTATATATGGAATATTATATGGTCTTATCGTTAACTCGCGGAAGAAGTAGGTCGACCTTATTTTTTTTTTAATCAGATAATTGTTGAGGGAGAATATTAATTTTGATTATAATTAAATTTAAAATACTAGTATTATGAATCGTCTCTACACTGCACAGTAATTCAAGGGTATATATTTCATTACATTCATAAAGGGTACATTTGTGCTGTGAGACTTGGCTGCTGAATCAAACGTAGATTTATAAGGTTTCACAAGTATATTTTAGTCTTTGGTCATAACGGTATGGTCAGAGACTAAAATTTAAAACCATAACGCTATAGTTCTGCATCTAATTTAGATTCATCTACTATTCATATATGATAAAATAAATGCCGCATTTATTTTAATTCATATTGCCTATTTGTATTGTATATGTAATTTTTAATTAATTTAAGAAATCAAAGCCTTAGATAAAGATAAGTAATTAAATACTTAATTTTTTATGTATTTCCTCTATCGGGAAAACGAACGCGATTTTTGTTTTTCAATACTACGTCGCCTTTCGAGTTTTACAAAGTTAACATTTTCAGTTGGTTGGAAAAATAAGCAGGTGGGTTGGGTAGGGGTGGGGTTATTGTTAATCTTTAGACACTTGACACTTATTTATAACTTTATTTATATGTCATATCAACCCCGGAAACAAAGTAGAAAATACAAAAATGTATACATGTATACTCCTGATATATGTATTCTATTTAATATTTAAGAAGCCATAATATAAATTGAAGTATATCTTGCTGATCAAAAAATCCAATAATTATTTAAATTTCCTTCTAATATATATATTTAATCAAATGACTCATTTGTTATAAATATATTAAACGATTTCTTGATAGTAAAACCATAATAAAGAGGAGTAATCAAATGTTTAACCCGCTTTTGATTGGTTAATCTGGATCTCGAAACTCGAATTTCGAATCTCGTATTTCGAATCTCGAATTTCGTATTTCGAACCTCGAATCTCGAATGAGCCTTCTGGGCTTTCGTACAATTTTCATATAGTGATATAAGATGAGTTCGGATAAGAGATGCCAAAGCGTAACAGTCGGACGGAGGCACGTACAGACAGACTTACATTACACAACTAAAGATCGAAGCTGAGGTTACGTAACTTAGATCCAGCATGATGCAAATGAAAACAATTCTAGATTCTTTATTTTGAAACATAGTAGATATTTTTCGGATAGTTAAACATATGACTTTTTCTGTATGGGCATTCCCTGATGAAGAAACCACGAATACCTCCCATTCTGAAAACGAAAAAAATGTACTTCAGGTATTCAAACTTTAAAATTCTTAATAATCTTTATATCAATAATCAAAACGTTTATCACTTGGGTTATAATTAACCAGAATAGATACTATACCAACCCGTTTGAAATTGGCTTTCTTCCTGTAACTAAATATCCTGGACCAAATGGTGATACAAAATTTTCTGTCGTTCGGAACCATATTTTACATTCATTGTCATTGTAGGAAGCTCCAAACACTATATAAATAGAGGAGACGCATTTGGAATTGTGTTCAATTAATAGAAATACTTTCAAAAAATGATAAGTCAATAAAAATACAACCAGAATTTCTGAAATAGGATTCACTGAACGTGGTGTTCCATGCTAATATCATAACAAAAAGTGTAGTAAATTTAAAAATCAAACAGATATAATCCTGATCTTTATATTAAAAACTTAGGCTGAGAATGAAACTAATCATTTTTAGCTTTGATACATATTTAGGATATTTTTCAAAACAAATGTAGTACGACATAGTAGTTTTTATGTCATTTTTTCAAGTACAGAATGACTAAAGTCGATGACAATTTTTGCGCAAACAACAGCATTGGAAGGATTTTTCACACACTGTTAATCTTACTTTTCGAATGGCTACATGTGTCAACAAGATATCTAAAAAAAATCTTTAACATATTCTAATAACATTTTTAAAAAAAAAAGAGTATTCGCAATGCAGTTTAGTTGATCGAGATGTATTAACGCAGGAAACAAAGTTTAAAAAGTAAGAATAGAAAGGGAATGAAATAATGCAGATCCAAGCTTGTTTAATTTGTAATTGACAGGGACATTTGCAAATACAATTAAAAGCTGCATAAAAAAACATTACTAAAAAAGAAAACAAGATACGCTGTAGACAAAACGGAAATGCTTTGATATTAAACCTCTTCGTAACAGATGCAATTTTCTACACCAATTAAAGGGAGCTTCTAGCAGCTACATGTACGAACCAGAACAGCAAATAACCCTTCTCTGTCCCGCGTCAGAGTTGATCCCATTGAAATAGTTTTTCTGTGGGCAAACAAACGCTTCAAATGCACCAGCGTCTTGAAGAAGAATAAAATAATATTGAAAATGAGAAATAAGTCGTATTATAAGTTTTAAACTGAGTACTGGGAAATATGCATATTTCTATTTTCAGTATATGAAAAGTTGTGTCTAAGATGGAATCAGATTTATGTTTGTCTCTTCTATCTATTCGATTTTTTTTCTTCGTTTGAGATTTTATTTGGACTTACTGAAAATGGCACATTGTTTTACTTTTCCTGGTGGAGGGAGACATAATGAACCGAAAAAAGACGTTGGATCGCCGCCTCGAAACACAAGTGGTCCTTTGTCCGTACAGTTTATATTTGAACGTTGAACAGAAATAGGTTCAGTATTTTCTACAATGAATTATGTCTCTGTAGAAAGAGTCAACAGTCAAACAAAGCTGGAATAGCTAATTCAAGTTTAGCTTCAGATCGGCGAGCTAGCACCGAAGCAATTTTTAAACAGAAAGGAAGGTTTGTGAAAGACTGGTTTATTTTGCAGTTTTCTTTAATGTTTAACGAGGCTGGAGTCTGAAAAATAGAGTTATTATGTAAATTATGTAAACCAAATAGCTTTGAATCCACACCAATGGCCGATAAAGAATCAAGTAATATTTCACGTGCCCTGGTGTAAGAAATAGGCTTGTTGATATTACAAAGCCTGTGACAATTAGCTGATTTGAAATAACGTACAGATCTAAAAATGAAATCGTCTGGTTTTCCTGATATTCCAGCTAACTGTAAATAATGTTTTGCCCAAAACACAGGACATGTAGCATTACCTGTACTTGCAATGAGAACATCATTACCTCGTCTATAAACGTCAGTTTTGCTGCTTTCAATATGTAAACACATGTAAAAATCATGAAAAGAAATATTTCTAACTCTTAAATTCGCAAGTTCATTAAATCTTAAAAACCCCGCAAATCCCATCAGAAACATAGCACACACACTCTTACACTTAATAAGTCATTTTTTTGACTGACATCATCGTATTTGTTTATGATCTGCTCCAAAATTTCGGGCGTAATAGGTTCCTTCTTCTGAATCGGCTTACTAAGGATTCTTTTTCCTCCTTCCATAACCATATGCAGAATTTTTGTATCACACGGATTAATGCACACATTGAAATCATGGAACCACTTAATACTGTAAAAATAAGCTGATAACACTGATTCTGATACCGACTGTTGCACGAGACTGCTAAGAAATACGGCTACCGTACTCACTGCCGCGGGTAAATGAGAAAGACCATGATCTGAACACCAGGTCCTGAACTTTTTAAAATATGTGTCGTACATTTTATTTGAACTATCACTCTTCCCTTTCCTGATTATGTGCTGAATGTTTGATGCTGCTGAATAAAGTCTGCTGTCCTTTTTCATTTCCTGAATTTCTGTCCAAACACTGTGTACCTAGAGAAAAAAAAATGAAACCACCGTCATATCCAAATACATGCATATCAAAATAATAATTTCATCACCCAAAAACTGTCGTGTTTTTTAAACAATTAGTCAAATCTTTTGCACATGATGCTTAATTTTTTGCACATGGTGCCTTACTAATAAATTAGTTCATACAAACTTTGCACATGGTGCATGAATTTTTATTGTACATTGAACTGCACATGGTGCTCAAATTTTATACTTTTCAGGATGTTCCAAAATTTACTTTCAAAACCAGTACATTACTCTGAAATTTTTCTGATGCAAAAATACCGATTTTATCTGAACCAGCTGTGAGAAAATTTGTAGGATTTTTATATTCAAAATACTTCAGCACAAAATCGTGAAATTTATTTTTCCTTTCATTCCCATCGGCCAATACAAAGCGGATTTCCATTTTGGAATGATTAACGTACCAAATGCTTTACATATTTGCATATGAGTAATAACTTTGCATATCAAAACAGGTGGGGGCACAATCCAACAATTATCGTCAGCCCAATTTTGTGCAAATGCATCAACCCCTGAAGATCCGGGGAGTCCAAAATCTAGAATAAAATTTTTTAACTTTTCTATTCTTACTATCTGCAAATAAATCACAGGTATACTCTCGCCATACTTCATTAAAAAATTTAAAAATTCTGTTTGAAACTCCCCAATCATCATAATCATAAATCTTGCTTAAGTCATCTGCATCTGTATTCATAGTTCTAGGAATCCATTCTAACTCTAATTTTATCGAATACGCAACACACAAACCAAACATTTCCAAAGCAAGCTGATGCAGCTCGTAGTTCATACTACCCTTAGATGCAATAAGTACTGCATTTTTATTATCTGTATACACTTTGACAAGTCTACCCGACAGATAATTTTGCAAACTCTCAATAATCACACAAATAGCTTTTATTTCTCGCCACGTAGAACTTTTTATTTTTTCTGAATCACTCCACATGTAATGCACTACCTTTTCATTTTGTTCTAAAGAAAAACCTGCTCCTGCAAAAGAGCTCGCATCCGAAAACAAAACTTTTGCAGGTATTTTTCTGAACCGTGTAATTTTTTATCTCGGTAAAGTGGCCATATTCTTGTACCAGAAAAGCAATTCAATAATACAGTCACGTGACATATTCAATACACAATCCCAACCAGTTCTCTTACACAATGCCATGCTCAAGTGTCGTGTCATCAGCTGACAAATACTACCTAAAGTAGGTTTCAATGAAATGACCTTTCCCACAATAGAACCGACATTTCGCGCAGTTACTCTACTTACATTATTCACTATCGAAGCAACAACAGAACGAATACTGTCAATTTTTTCATTCGGAACTTCTAAAATGCCATCTTTCAGATTCCATACAAATCCTAACCAAATCATTTTGTCTACTGGAACAAACTGCGATTTTTCTATATTAACCTGAAACCCTGAGTGATCTAACGTTTTCTGTAGAAACGCGGCTATTTCTATACAAGAATTGTAATCAGAGCAAACCCAACCATCATCGAGATAAACTACGATAGGAATGCTATGAGATCTCCAACATTTTACCAATACCCTCACAACTTTTGTGAAAATATGCCCTGCAGAAGAAAGCCCAAATGGCAAAACAGTGAATTCAAAATATTTCCTTTTTCCCTGAAATTCCCAACTAAACCCTAAATACTTTTGAAATTCGGGATGTACATCTATATGGTGGTAACCCGATTTAAAATCAAATTTTATCATGAATTGTTCTTCTCTAGCATATAACATAGCTTCCTTAATTCCCTCGAATTTAATTTTTTGCTTCTCAATAAACTGATTAACATGTCTGAGATCTAAAACAAGACGTTTTTTACCAGACGCGTTAACAGACACAGTCAAAGGATTAACTACAAAAGATGGTTTTTGAATCTCTCTAACACACCTAGTCTTAATTAGGTCAGAAATAGCTGAGCAAACAAATTCTGCATGATTTAATGAAGACCTGTTATTTTTTAAAATAATACTATATAGAAGTTCTTTGAAAGGTATAGCATACCCACATCTTATAATATTCAAAATAAAACTATTAGCATTAAGCTCGTCATTCCACAAATTTATGCTTTTCTTGAGCTTGGATTTAACACTAACCATCTCAACATTTGTCTCATATTCATATTGCTCATTTAAATCAAACATATACTCAACTTCACTATTTTCACTGCTTAGAGGTTCCACTTGTGCTTGTAGTTGAGGTTGACAAGGTGGGGATGGGCTGGCCTTTGAGGTATGGGAAGTCTCTGACCATGTGTCCGACTTGCCGACAGTAGAAACATCCGCCACGATCTCTTTGGAACTGGAATACTGTATTTCCGACCCTTGAAGCCCCTGTGTTGAATTTTTCGGAGGAATTATACGACTGGCTAAAGCCACAAAAAAAGTCACTGGGCGCAAAACTTCCTCTGCGTCTTTCATACGGTTTTGCTCTGAAGGATCGTTTTCTTGCAGCACGCCCCACAGCGTAATGAAGCTTAGTGGCATCTTCGGTATTATCTGCCAAAGGGTCATCGAGATACTCGTGCACGGTATCCCATCCGTGACGGTCAGCGATTTTCAGAATTTTGTTTCTCTGTTGTAGGGCTGTCTTTTCTTCCTTAATAACTGCTGCAGCCTTTGTTAAATCAACTTCCTGAATGAGACCTTCAATTTCAGACAACTTAGAAAGTCTATCTTGATTAAACGCGAATTGAATGTTATGCCCCTCATGCTTAAATTCAAATGCTTGTCCGGACTCAGGCACGTGTGCTGCACTTTTCAAGGCATTACTTTTTCCTAGTTGTTCTGTAAGTCCTGCAATTGTACTCACAATCACATTACTTTGTTTTTCTAAGGCTTTGTTGAGTGAAGTACTAAACAGCGAAACGGCGTCCTCGTTTGAGAGCCCAACTTCATTACACTCCATTGCAGTACTATCCTCCATATTTCTTACAATCTTTAAATCCTAGCGAGCAAGCTTAGAGTGCCGTGCTACCGCATGGCCTTACTATTTATACCCTAAATAACCACGTGACTTCAGAAGAAAACTTTTCGAACACATACCACACATAATTTTAATTGATATGTGGGAATTTGATGGTGGTGTTGAGTAATACTGCATATAAAATTTTACAGTTCGTGGCGGTATTGAATTCATGGGTCTCCCCATACCTCGAAATCAACGCAAATTCAACTTCCACGAAAATTAGTGATTTCAAGGTACACATTAAATAAACAGACTTCAGAATCAAACAACGAAGGCCAGTTTTATTCAATTACACAACGAAATCGTTATCGTACAGTCTGTCTACAGTATTTTTTACATAGACCGTGAAATTTGTTTTTCCAGAATGCCCGACCGTGAACCCAAGAACGCGTATTCCAGAAATATGCACAAACGTAGGTGCTAACGCTCTTGAAAGAGCTCTAGTAAAAAGTGCACGTCCTTAATGCCCATAATTAATATACTAATCAGTCCCCTTTCATGTAAACTATTATTAACTATTGAATAAAGAAAATAGAGTATCTGAGGCCAAGAAGTGCTCAAGTAATATCTAGAGATGTTATCAAACTCCTAAACATGAAAAGAAACTTGCAAATATGATCAAATACCAATATTAAGAAAACTTGTGTCCCAAGATTACGTCATCTTGCCTAATAAAACGTAACCTTTATCTCTGATGTAGTCAAGTAGGAATATCTGAATGTTTTTTTTTACACATCTGCGTTGTTTCAACTAGTGATTGTATCTTTGTTTTCTTTCTAATTTTCAAATTAAGAGAACGGGAAAAAGTATGGAGCATTGTTTATATATTCTGCTAGATTTTCAACCATCGATATTCAAACGATTCGGAGGGCTTCGTTTCGCATATAACACTTTTCGCGCTTATTCGCCTTCTTTTTTGTTTTAAAGTTGGAACTGTACATGATGAAGATCATCTCATGGAACACTCCATAGATAGATTTAAGAGGGGAATTACAAAACTTTGTCCTCAAAGTATGTAGCTTACAAAATCCAGGATTCGTCAGTGCACCCGTTTTGTAGACCATTTTGCAGCTACACGGGTTTTGGGGGCCATATGAGAAATTTCTTTGAGGCAAACTTCATTGAAACATTTTAGGGAAATTAAATAGTCCTTGTGCCTTTAAAATAAAAGATGAGAATATCACATCGGCTTCGAACGAATTGATTAGCGGTACTTTCCTTCCATGAGAATCTTTTCCAGTTATTTAAACTTTATAAGATATCAATTTATATCGGCCGTCTTTATAAAAAAGAAATCAGGCTTGAGAAATTGAATTTAGAATTGTTTGCGTTTGGTAGTTTTAAGGATATTTCAAGAAGATTTCTAAAGCTCAAAATGTACAAAATGTTATTCTAAAATTTGATTATTTAAAGGTGAAATTTACCTATTTGAAGCAAACGTTAAAAGGTTAAAAGACAAAAAAGTACATGATTTTACATTGTTAAGCCTATGAACATAAGATGGCTTAGAAAATAAGTGATTTAAAAAAAGAGTTCTAAAGAAGATCATTTTCAGAAATTTTAACATTGAATATTTAAATCAAAATACTGAAAAATTAAAGTTTTCAAATGTGTATGGAAGTTTGAAACAAGATATTTTTTTAACTAAAATATTTAATTTTAGGTTAAGTTCTTGCAATTTAGAAATATAATATAATTGACTAAAATTCTAAACCAACAAATTATATTAGAATTGTTAATTGTTACACAGACCATACATGGCATGTTAGAACGCTAATTATTCTTAGACTAAATGCATTTTTTTCACAAAAAGGTGTAAAGACTAAAAAAAACTTATGTATTACTGCTTAAAATTCCATTATGGACTAATTCTTACCTTGAACAACATCACCCAGCTTCATTATTTTTGCATTTACAGTAAAACATCCTGATATGCAAAGAAAAATGATAAATATCATGTTGTTTTGTCAAGGAAATAATATTCACGTGCTTTTTATAGATATGCCATTGGCATTGACTTCATAATTTTAATTAGTGCCCCTTTTGTGTGTTTTGATTGATTAAGACTAATTAGTTTTTTTTTTTGTTTTTTTTTTCTTTTTTTTTTGAAAATTAACTCTTTATCATTCATGCCAATTCATGCTGATATAAATATCATGTGAAAGGAAATAAAAAAATATCTCACACAAAAATCTTTCTTCAATGAACTCTTCTTTTTTGTTCTTTAAAATGCTTTTTGTTTTACATATGCAGAGAGAGAGAGAGAGAATTCAATGAATTGTCTGACTGTGAAATCATTTATTTTCGTGGGGGATGAAAGTAAACATAATTTAAGTCCACCCTAAACCACGAAATTTGATTTTTCAGACATATTGCTACTAAGTATGCAATGCATCTTCAGCCCTCGAACCCCTCGAACCAGATTTTATCCCTAAAACCACGAAAATTTGACCAAATGAATATATATATTATCTTACACTATGCAACAATGAGCACAATTTGTAAAAAAAAAAATAATAATAATAAAAATAAAATGTTTCTCGCTTATAAATACTGGAGTACGAAATAACTCTTCCTTCGAAAGGTGTAGTCTAAACCTTATGACCAGTAATTGAGTTTTTAACATAATTGTGCATTTTTCTTTCATCTACCGACCATATTTTTTGTCAAAATTTACAATTGCATTCATACAAGTAGTTTCCATATATATGTGTGTATCTAAAATTTTAAAAATTAAAATCTTTGTTTTGTACAAAAAGATGATAATGTTAATCTAAGACTATGTTTCATGGCCCTTAAAAGTATATACATTTAATTTAAAATATTCATTTCTTTCCAAAGGCGATAACGTCGTGAAGGAAGTATTAGACTTGATAACTTTTCTCTTTAACAAGCTTCCTCACAGGAAATTGATGTACCTTATAAGGCTTTGCAAGTTGCTAGAGGATGGTATTTCCTAAAATATCATATACGTCGATACGATATATCCTGGTGAGCTTGAGATAAAGGATACCATAGATTCTGACACATCTATTTCATATTTGGATGTTTTACTTGAAAAAGACGTTAATGGTAATCTAACAACCAAGCTATATGATAAATGTGATGACTTTTACTTTTCTATCGTCAACTTCCCTTACTTATGCAGCAATATACCTTCATTACCTGCATACGGTGTATTTATATCTCAGTTGATTCGATACGCAAGCGTATGCTCTACGTGCGAACAATTTCTAAAACGGGGTAAATTATTGACAAGCAAGTTGATGAAACAAGAATATCAACAATTTCGTTTAAAGTCATCATTTTGTAAGTTCTATGGTCGATACAATGACCTTGTCAGCAAATACAATTCTTCATTGAGTCTATTTTTAACTCTGTGAACAGGTGTCCGTAAGCACTGGTCATTTTAAGAAACCTGTTTATACTACAAGCTAATTACCCCCTCATTATAGGCAATATCCTCCGATGGTTTGACAGGCACTGAGACAGTGCGTCCATATTTAAGTATTTTGCCAAGAAAGAGAGACCAGGTATTTTATTTAACTGTCTTCAATAAACACGGGCGATAACTCGTACTCATTGCATTTACTAGAGAACATGGCGTGTAAATTTTAGGTGAGAGAAAACGTTGAGAAAATTAGTTGAATTCCTGTCTTTATTTTGGATTATATTTTAGGTTAAAAGGCATACACAACCTGAAAAAGGTTTGATAAATTAATTTAGAAGTATTTTCAGTGCATATCCTTTTGTAATCTTCGAAATTGTTTGGGAGCGGTTCAGCAATTTTTTTGCAACGTTGCAAGTATATTGGTGGAATTCCAATTGTACTAACTAATGTAAATTAAACATAAACTGATATGAAACTCTTAAGTGCTTTTTATTTGTAGCGCCAATGGCAATTCGCAAAATTTTGAAACGTAAAAATTAATCAACAGCTTTTTGACCTAAATTTGCAAAACTAAAGCGACGTAAAAATTGCCAGATTTACGGTATGCTGACTGACGTTTTTCATACTAATTATTAATCCATTATTTGTGCACTGAATTGGCAACGGATTTTCCCGTTATTTCCCGATCATGACAAGGAGCACACGGCGGGTGTGACTGGTCAACAGGGGATACTCGCTCCTCCATCGCACCTGATCCCACCTCTGATGTTTCGGAGCTCTGTGTCTGCTCTGTTCCTATTTTGTATCGTTTTATTGACTTTGAGGTTGAATACTATTCGTTATCTCCATACCTTTCATAGAGAATCACTAAAATTGCCAATATCACAATTGTTTTTATTCACTTTAGAATCAGTAAAGATAACACAGGATAATGATGATTATGGTTAATTTATTGTATGTTACACAGTCAAGTAAGTCATATTACACAGAGATACAAAACACAAACATCTTTTAAAAACGTGTCGTCAAATCTTTATGTCTTTGGTTAAAAAATGCTCTTGCAATTATTTTGGTTGAGAGGTACGGTGTAATATAAATGTATATTATTGTCATTATTGTCTTTTTTGAAAAAGAGTGACAAACGGAACCATTTTTTCTCTTTTATATACTAGTCAAAACTGCTAAGGTGTCTGGTTATTCTTGTTTGCAAATTCATTCTATGATCGATACAATGACCTTGTCAGCAAAACATTTTATCATTGAGTCATATGCTGACTGACGTTTTCAAACTAATCATTAGTTTATTATTTATACACTGAATTGACGACGGATTTTTCCGTGATTTCCCGATCATGACAAGAAGCATATATATGTAGCGGGTGTGACCGGTCGGCAGGTTTTGCTCACTCCTTTATGGCACCTGATCCCACCTCTGATGTTTTGGAGGTCTGTGTTTGCTCTGCTCTTATTTTGCTTTGTTTTTTGGGATTTTGATCTTGAAAACTGTTCATTGATTGTTTCAATGAAAAATTATAAACAAATGATGGATTTTAATTCAAGTACATGAACGAAAGGGACAGGTTCAGGATGACCAGTGCTTTGATTGTGAGGGACTTTGTGGTGTGTGTTCGGCAGGAGCGGGGAGGGGGTATGAAAAAAAAATTGCAATACTTATAGTTAACATGAGATTTGTAGCATACGAGGGTTGACACAAATTTAATATTTCCTAAATTTTACGTGTACTTGTATAGGGTGTGCCTTTCCACCACTAACCCCACAACGTCCACATACGCAACTTGATTTGGTTTGGAATAATATTGGATATCATTCCTCGGTTTATCATTGAACCCTTTAACGCTCTTCTTCTGTATATGGACGGGTTTATTTTCGAAAGAAACAGCGATCATGAGCTGCATATGCTGGAAAGTAAAGACTCTTATCGATTAGATATTTGATAAATTTTAGTCCGAAAAAGTCGGTCGCTTTGGTGTTACTGAATTTTGAGATTTTGAGAATTCACATCTGATTTACACAGGCTCCAGAATATTCTGCAGCATAGTGCCTCTGAACTCTCTTTTTACCAACAGCTAATATTTTTGTAAGGTGTAAGGATAGATTAAAATGAGCATTTGCTCGACTATGTAATGTATCTCTGTTTGTAAGGATTTTTACAAAAACTAGATATCCAATACAGGATGATGGATCGAATGCACCTTTGTTGACTGGGATTTAAAATGTTAAAAAAATAATTTTGAAGAATTCATAATTAGATTGAAAATTTATTGTAAAATATAGATTTGGAGCTTTTATCTATTTTTAGAACTTTTTTTAAGATGGTCGTTTTAAGGTCTTAATTTTTCATTTAATGGAAATAACAAGTCAGGGAGAGTCCAGCGAGGCATTGTTTGTTTTTTATGTAAATAATCTTTGGCCACTTTTGAAAGGCTAAAAATTGTCTCACTTTAAACGATTTTATTCATCATGTAAGGATGATTTTATTTTTATTTTTATTCCTGGATTTTCTTAAACTGATTATATTTAGGACAAAAATTTTCCCACCTACCTACCGATTTTTTTTACCCTGAATCAGGAGAGTCAAACAAACACTATTAAAAATTTTTGTTGATGGTTTCCAAAGAAAATTGCTTGCATTCTTTTTTGAAATTTGAAGAGTTCTAAACATGTTTAAGAATTTTTAGAGATATAATCAATTGTATTTTGCTACAAAGATATTAAGATGATCAATTTACATATTATCAAATATTATCTATATCTCTTTTTTCTTTTCATTCATGTCTTTTGAAAGTATTGAAATCATAAGATATTTTAAAATTTAAGATAATTTTATTTTTCCTCAATGTTTCCGTTACAATCTAAATCCGGAAAACGATGACCAGCTTACGACAGCGTATTGCCCATCTCCACCATGTGTTCTAATCCAGACTTTATCATTTTTCTTCATTTTTATTATAGCTGTCGAAGATCCGGAAGAGTAACTCGAACTGCCTGAGACGCCATCCGCATGATTGTAGCCAATTATATTACTGTTAAGAACAATATCTGTGTTAAACATCTTCCCAGCTTGTGTTAGAATAATCCACGTGAATGAGTAGATACCATCTTCAGGTGCTGTGAAAATACCTGTTTTAGCATCATAGGCATTTCCATGGTTCAGAGTTACCTTTTTAAACACAACAACAGCATTGTTGGCAAGGTTAACCTGAGCTTTCGATAATCGTGAGTGAAAAGCTATGATTCCTGTTCAAAACATACGACAAATGCTTAACTGTAGATTCAACAGAAACAATGAAAAGTAGTATGTAAAAGATATTCCCTGAAAGGTTTTGACTTTGATAATGTAAAAATTTTTTATACGAGTATTTCACATTTTGAACAGTAATTTAACATGATCAGAGAATCCATGTAACCTAGCTTGAAGGAAATCAAAAATTTTACGTAATTCTATATCTGACATTTCACACAGGAAGACCAACACATCTTTTGATGAAATTATACCTTTTTCTCCTGCTGTGCAATTAGTTGTTCTATAACCCATTCCTTGACACACTGTATTGTACTTTTTGTATTTCTCGAGAAAGTCTTGTGGGCGTTCCTCTGCATACACTACAAAAATTATGCACACAACAAGGAGTGTCGTTTTGAACAAAGTTGTCCTATTCAAAGACATTAAAAGTAAAAATAACATTTTATTCAAAGCAATATGTCAAAAATTAAAATTATAAGATATCATAAATTTGCAGTGAATACTTGCATGTTTGTAGTTAGATTTCAATTTTTCTGTTTCTTAATCCACAATACAGTTACATACATCAACTGCCCCTCTTTATATACTATCATGACAGTAATTAAAATGTAACATGAGTAGATCGGATGACATACTGATCTTCTCGTTCACTTTTAATTAAGCTTCTAATAATGTTTCTGTTAAAATCTTACTGGTGGTCCAAGGTAACAAATCAGCTCTCGTTTCTAAAATTCATAAGAGAAAACATCTTAAGTGTGAAAACAAATCTTACCATTTATTTAAATGACGAAAAATGTAAACCATAAAAAAAGAGCACGAAAGAAAACGAAAGAATTTGGATGGGACACATACCATAATCAAAGAAAGCTTGACCAGAAATGCAGTTCAATAAATGATTACAAAACAGTGGTCTCCCAGTAACAATATCGTTAAAACATACAGATGTTATAATGCTGTAAAATTCAACTTCATACTTCACTTGAAACAAAAGTGATGCATAAAGAACGATCCATAAAACAAATTCAAAATAGCTTGATTAATTAAAAATGTGGTGGATAGAGTAGGGGTGATGGTTGCTTTTTAGATGTGTTCATGAATATTTTGTATCCGAAATTGGTGTGATTCCCAAATTTGGGGTTGACGATTAATAAGGAATCGGTCTTACCTACAATTTAACATTCAACAATGTTAAGGAACGTCTCGTTCCTCAAAATCTGTTTTGTATATCTTCGTAATGTAGGAAAAATATTCAAAATTTTCATAATATTCTGAATTTTAAACCAGTTTCTAGACTTTTTAAAAAAAATCCAAACACTTAAATATTTGAAATTGGAAAATTATTTTTCTTCCCCAAAGGATTATATAAGAAAAACTACCCCTGGTATCTTGCAGAAATGCCTGGTAAGGTACCTTAATTTTTTGTGAGTAAACATGTTTAAGTAGCAACACTTCAATGACAAACTCTTAGAAAAATTTATCTATTAT